ATTTTATTCTCTTCTTATAAGGCCTCTAAACCCATCATTAAAGCCCCATCCTCATGCTTTATGATCTGATCTGCCTTATCCTTATCTCTAAAAGTCTCCATCTTTATATATTATCACAGTGGGAGCTAAGACTTCAACGATCAAATATTGAGGGGATGCATTCAGTTTATAGCAAGAGGTTTGCATGTCTACTGACTTAAGAGCTTGGCCATTGGTTCTTGAAACTGCTGCTGCATCACCCTTATGCTTGCCTGCAAGGCCCTTGGCTGGGATGGCTGTCTAGAAAAACCCCTGTGTCACTCCTGGGTGAGTATAGTTGCAATTCAACTCCACACCACAAGGGGGTGTTAAAAAGCTCTCATAAACCCCTTCCATCTGCATAGTAATTGCCAGCCAAGGATATTCTGGAGAACATTTCCATCCAGGACTCAGAGACTCTTGATCACGTTGGTAGTGGTGGTGGTGCTCTTATCATCTGAGTCCTAGGGGTTTCTCTTTTCTTAGGGAACATATGCTCAAGAGCCTTAAAAGTGAGAAACAATTGGCTTCTATTTTGTGATTTCTGGGTCACATTTTTTTCTTGGGGTAATGATCACAAAATGACTAACCTAATTAAATGGGGGGAAATTCCAAGTTTGAGGGAAATGGTTGGGCTGGAAACTTAAATAAATACTAGTAAAGTTTCTGAGATTTAAATAGCTTTGTAGGTTATTCAGATGGGCAGCCAACATGAAAAGCCAATGCTCTATGTTTTCTTCCTTATTCATTTCATAAATTTCCATCACTCTCACCATCAATTTTATTTTTTTGTTTATTTATTTATTTATATTTTTTGTTGATAGTCAGTATTACAGATGTCTCCAATTTTTCCTCCCTTTGTCCCCCTTCATCCAACCCCCGCCCTACCCCAGGCCTTCATCACACTATTGTTTGTGTCCATGGGCTATGCATATGTACACATATGTTCTTTGGTTCACCATCACTTTTAAAATCACAACTTCCTTAATTTTACCTCTGGCATAATATGTCATATAAACAAACATGTTTCTGTTATATATGTCCACTTGGATGTATTCAATACCTCAAGCTCAATGTAGCCAACATGCAAATAGTATCTTAAGTTGCTTTAAAACTTTACACCTCCATTCCTAATTGTGGGAAATGACATTATTTACTCATCAACTCTAGAGTCTATGTGATAGTTTCTATAATACTTTGTAAAATCACTTCTTCTTTATGCTAACTGCCTACTGGCATCTCACAGTGTGAATAGTACACAAAGTGACTTAACAGATATAATCCCAATTTCTCAGTTTAAGAACTCTGCGAGTTGGAAGAGAGATACTGCTATCTCCATTGACCAGATTGGGCAACTGAGAGCTCAAAGGACTGCTGTGACAAAGCTCAGAGTAAGTCAGCAAAGCATTTCAATTCTACACACTTTCTTTGGACTCCATAGTTATTCCATAGATGATTAACTCAAATGTTCTTAGCCTTGAACAATTTAGAATGGTGTGTTAATAATTCTGGCTTACCCAGAAGCACATAATCTCAGATATATAGATGCATCTGTTGGCCTAACTTTATCATCTGTCTACATGTCAGGATAACCTGTGGATACACCCTATGCACACCCTACTGCTTTTATCATCTCTAAAGTAAACTATACTTTTAGCTCTAAAATGATGACATACCTTTCAAATGTATGCTGTTTTATTTATTTTTCACTTAAATAATTGGAACTATGATTTACCCCGATATCTTTATAGCACTTCCAAGTTCCTCCAAGAATTTGGCTCGACAGAAAGAGAGAGAGAGAGAGGAACTAACTCACACTGGGAGAGATCGTTAATATGAAGCCCATAAATCTCTTGTCCCTTAATCCGCAACATCACATCCTTGTCTGTATGCGTGACATCTTTCTGTCCTGCAGTCCCGCTCCTGAATTAAGAAACTTCACTCACAGGAGAAGCACATAGGCCAAATCTTTCTCAGCACATGAATTTCTATCTCCTCATGTTACCTGCCTCTATTGACAACTATAATCTGGGTCAAGTACTTGTCCGGACCACCTAAGCCAGCTCACTCAGCCCGTTCCCCTTGCAAACAGGCAGCAATAACGGCAACAAAAACAGGATTCTTATTTTTCACTTTTCCCTCCTACATGCCTAGTAGCAATGCTTCATAGACTTCTCAACTTGATTTGATCTGAGAATAAGGTTTGCCCTCAAACAAAATATCTTAGAACGTCTCCCATTGTATGCTTGCTCCTGAGAAACTGACGGAACCTATCACTGAAGTGAAGCAGTTTGATGAATGTGTGAGAGGGAAGTAGGTGGGTAATAGAATGTTCACTTGTGAAAGAAGGAAAATTATGGGCTCTTTTTGCTCAGTAAACACATGATAGAGGAGAGAATTAAAAGTTAATCCAAACTGAATTAAACATTAAAAGTGAGAGTCCCAATGGTGCCTTCTTTGTTTAAATGTTCTGCATTCTCAGTTAGGTGGGATAAAGTTGTAGCCTCTTATCTTGACACAATGTGAGTGTGCAGAGGAATTTTCCTTGCATTTTTCATTGAGATTGGTTCATAAATAAAAATATATATAATAGATAGGAACAATGCTAAAATAGCAGCCACCGAGAATATACCATTTCCTTCCGTCTCAGGGGAAAATGTTCTCTAAAAGGACATGCTTCGATTTAGTCAGAAAACCTATCTCATTACAAAGGAAGAAAACTGCTAAATAACAGATTGGGTCTAGAAGTATCCAATAGAGACTAGTGAGAGAAATTGCAATTCTGTCAACAGTGCAGAGGCCAAATAAATTATTTTGCTACTCTACACGGAAGAGGAAACCAAAATGGACTTAAAGGCTGACAATTCTGGGCTCTGTTCTCAGCCGGTGCCACTCACTCTTAGACTATGTTCAGATTATTTAAGATCCCCTGGCCCTGCTACCTCATCCCCAGGGGACTGGTGACATATCAGAAAGCACACCATGTGTGGCTAAATCAAGAGTCACAGTAACTGCTCCCAAACACCCCTTTCTCACCCCATCATCCTCTGGGGCCGCTCATGCTCCTTCCACATCAGTGCAGGAGACTGCTGGGCTCTCACATGTCAGATGACTCTCTCTATGATGAGTGATGCTCATTCTCCTTCGCATACAGAGCCAGAATCTTCTGTTGATGTGAAAACCATAGGACTTTTAGCACTTCCCATGGGACTAACTTGTGTATGAGATTCACTCCCCCCACACTCATTGAATGAATTATTGAATCATTGAAGGTGTGAAGGTGAGTGGTAATGAGGCCAGTGGGGTTGGAAAAACAATGTAGTCAGAGTCTTACCTTAATTTTTCTTCGGGAGCTAACTGCTTCCCACCCAAACCCCACAAAACACAACTTCAAAGAAATCAGTGCCATTTCTTACTTGGATGGAAAATGCCAACATTGCTTCAAGTCAAATGGTTCAGGAGTCAGCCCTTCGGCAATTTATTTTCATAAAGATAATGTAAGATAAAGTTCAGTTGGCTAGGTACTAAGATCTAGAGAGAACAATAGAATCAGAGAGACAAAGAAATCTTTTTTTTTGTCTTTATTTTTATGGCTTAGAACAGAATAAGACACATCATATTATCAATATTTAGCTGTCAAGTGAATGAATGCATGAATGGGTTTCTGAACTGATGAACGTAAGTAGTTATTCTGGAGCTTAGAGCACACTGCCACCCTCCTTGTTGTCCCTGATAGGACCAGTGTGTTTTTGTTTGTTTTGTTTTCTGTAGATTCAAATAACTGAGACTAAGGAAATACTGCTTTACTTTTGGTTTATAAATATGCATACAGATCATTGAGATTTTGAAGTAAAAAAGATAAAACTAAACTTCCAAGTAGATAATGTTGGCAGAGTTTGAGTTAAGTGATAGATGGAAGGGAAATTCTACCATCTTAAAGGGAAACACACACACACACACACACACACCTTACAGTACTGACCACCTAGTAGCACTGAAAGTTTTCCAGTGATTTGCCTTCAGGGTCTTTATTTTTGTACCAAAAATTACATAAACAATTCTTTCCAAAGATGGGATGAAACATACGCTTTTGGTGATGGATAGGGAGTACAGAGGCCTTCTGAGCATGTAGCTCCTCTGAGAACACATGCACAGAGCCCCCACATACGCTAACACCTGGATGAGACTGAGCAATTCTCTCTCCAGGTATCGCGCTGAGCTCTGAAGTGCCAACATGTTGAATTCCCTCCAACACTGTGAGGGAGGCATTATCATCCAGTACTGTACATGAGGAAACTGAGACCAAGAGATGACTTCCAATGAAGCTGCTTCGTGGAGTGAAAGACAGTAGTCAGCACTCATACTTTACCAGAATGAATGCTGAGCAACTTCTGTGATACCCTTGCCAGCAAGAAAATAGCCCACCCCTGGTTCCAAAGAAAGATTTTGAAAACCTAACTTAAATCATAATTAGCATACATGCATACATGAATACTATACATGCAGATTGTCCTCCTAGGTCTCCCTTTCCAATATAGTTTTCACTGTTCATGACAACCTCCAACCCTGCAGACAACTCTCCACTTTAAGGGCATGGATTCTCAAAATACAAATATACATAAAAAATAGCAAGGTTATTGGATATATTTTCTGAATAAGTAGAGAATACTAGGGACCCCAGAGCTAGAGAGGTCTGGTCTGGGAGCTTCTGGAAGCTTTATTTAGTAAGGAAACCACTGGGTCATTCTTCAGGCGCCGTAAACCCAGTGAAAGCTGTGCCACTCGCGGCCGCGGTCAGTCACGAACTATTCAGGCTTTATTTTCACAATACGCAAAATGAACTACGGAGTAAGTTTCTTCATTTCTCTAAAACCATCACTTTTTAAAAATTTTTAAATTAATAGTAAGTGAAAATGAGATGACATGCTGAATGATAAAATGATAGCGGTAATATATTTTAAATAGTTGTTAAATTAGTCTCATTTATCAAAAGACTTAATATATGTTCAGAAGATTTTATTGTTGCTTTAGAAACATGGCTCCTTGAAATAGTGCTGCTTCTTCTTTTCGTAAGAGTTCTGTGTTTCCTTTGATATTAACCAATATTCTGCATTGTCCTGAAAGAGTCAATCAAGATTCAGTTCCTTCTTAACGTGCCTCAGGCATCCCTGGTTTCTTGACGACCTTGTTGAGGTCACCGAGCTTATCTCATGTCTCTTCTAGATTACATTGCCCAACAGATGTTAGTAGACACACGAAATGATTCCTAAGGGTGAACTATGTATATCAGATGGAGCGTGCATGTTCATTGCGAGCTAAATGAAAACATTCATTTACTAGTTTATCTTCAAATAAGGTCTCAAATTTGAAGTTAAGACTTTGCCTGGCTGGTGTGGCTCAGTGGTTGAGCATCAACCCCCACAGCAAGAGGTTACTGGTTCGATTCCCTGTCAAGGCACATGTCCAGGTTGTGGGCCTGATCCCCAGTGGGGGGCATGCAGGAGGCAGTCAATCGATGTTCTTTCTCATCCATGTTTTTATCTCCCTATCTCCCTTCCTCTTGCTCTAAACTCAATAAAGAAATATATATATAAATTACACATATATAGAGCAAGGCAAGGGGATGAAGACTGAAGTGGTCAGGTCTGTCAGGTCTGTAGGGATTTAGGCTTTGTATGGTATATGATCTTCATTCTAAGGGAAGTCTCCTGAGAATTTTAAGCTGTAGAGTGAGATAATATGAGTACTATCTTTAGACACTGAATTTCCCCGCATCTCCCACAACATCTATGGAGTGTATTGTCCCACTCCAAAATTATCTTGAATCTCAGGGTTGGTATTTTTATTATTTCTGTACCTTAGATCATATTTTCTTATATGAAATCTCACTGTCACACTCAGGTCTCCTTCCATGATAGACCGAAAATTATAAATTTGAATAAATCATTGAATGAGAATGACTCCAGCGAAGACTTTTGAGAGAGAAAAAGAAGAAATTTACATTATAGCAATTCAGACACATCCAATTAACTCTCCACCTTAATTCTTCAAATGTATTTCAGCCATCTCAGCACCATCATATTCTTTGATCTGGTTTTATCCTCCCTCTATTCTGCTAGAATTTCCATTTTAATTACATTTCTTTCTCTCTATCTAAAGATTAAGCCAATGGCTCCAAACCCTCTTTACAACATGCAGCATTTCAGCACTCTCTCTTTATTCCTTCTCCCAAAATTGCATACTCAAACCTATAATGCTTAATAATCAAAGCCAGACTTTTATTAACATGATTCATCATCAGTAGAAGAAGGATATATATTTTTTTTTCTCTGAAAAGAGTTTTTATGGATTTGTCTCTTATTTGGAAGTTTCTGGACACGTTTTCTGTGGCCTTTAATTTAAGACCTTATTTGAAGTTAAACTATCACTATTTTGGTTTTCCATTTTCCTTTGTAAGATTCCCTTTATGATCACCTAGAATAACTTACAATAGAAAATGGAGTGCTTGGATCTCTCAAAATTAACTGAGTGTAATACAATGTAGGCAAATAATCCAGGTACGTTGTTAATATTTTCTGTTTTACAACATTTCCCATCCTTGTGTTGAGGACGAGCTGCTCATTGTTTCATTCTGGTTTCAGTGGCAAAGCAAGGGCTACAGTTAAACTACACTCTTCAATATGACAACATGTATTCTGCCTGGAACCCAGCAGTATGCACGGTTCATGGTTTATAATTGTTGGCTTTGCCTGTTATTTACTTTGTTCATCATCAGTGAAAAGTGCAGAAACAAAAGAACCTTCCTAGATATATTTCAGGGGGTATTTAAAAATGTATGTCTTCAAATTCAACAGAGCAAAGGAAGTGATACTCATTTTTCTTAACGCTAGTATGTAACACAGGAGCTATATACATAATATTTGGAAATATGTGAAGATATAGGAACTTATTATTAAAAATGCTTTATTACTCAGAAACTACACCTTCATACAAATATAAAGACAGAGTACTAAATCTTTACATAAGTTGCTTACCATGCGCACCTTGGATAGACGTCAGGGAATTTGCCGTCTCTAGCTGGCCTCTCTCTGCCTTCTTCCTCCACAGCCTCCTCACTTTGCTGCCCTCCGGCTCTCCAGGAATGGAATTCAACCTCTTTGTTTCATCTCATTTTCTCTTCCATGAAACAGAAGAAAAAGATTCATTTCAGCATAAGTGAAAACATACGTTTTCTCTAAAGTTCCAAAAGTTCTTTTCTAGAAATGGCAGCAGTTATTTTTATTTTGTGGGACAGTGTGTAGGATCCTATGGGGTACATAAATGTAGGTAGAAACAGTTGATACGCTAGGACATATTGAGGGACAGGGAGAAATCCTGATGACTTCCCAGAAATAACAAGAAATGGTGTATTGATCCTTTGACCTCATTTCTATTGATCTTGTTTGCTTTGACCTCATTTCTATTGACCTTGTTTGCTTTGACCTCATTTCTATTGACCTTGTTTGCTTGCAATGAAAACACCACAACTTAACAGCCTCTGAGTGTCTTGCAATACACCTGGTTCCATGGGGGAACTCACAGGTTCCTATATTTAGAAAGTCAATGTATACAAATTCCACAAATTGGCTACAGAGGATAATTTACAAATGGGCACATTTGAAGGACAAAATGACCCATTAACAGAATTGATGTTTTTTCTCTGGGCTTATGGGATGGATTTAGGGTTATGCCATGTATATGGGAACAGCATCTGGCTACCTTTTGATATCACCATGTCCCCACCTCCTTTCTAAATGTATCAGTAATCTGGGATAGAACATTGCATTTTGTGGTAGAGTCTGTGACAGAAATCAATGTCATTTTGGTTTTCTACCACAGCCTCTACCTTGGTTCCACCTCCCCTTGCCTGTGAACTTCTCAGCTGTTCCTGGCTCTCCTGCCTCAGAATCACTCACCTGTGGCAGCACTGGTCGGGTGCCTCCCACTGCCCTTCCTTCCTCCAGCCTTGTCGACAGACGCTCCGTGCTGTGCACTCCCACAGACCTCGGTGCTCCTCTCGAGCCTGGCCTGGCACTGCTGCCGGGACTGGGAGGAGGCTGACGGTACACAACAGGCTGTCCTCAGGAACCGGAAGAGTTAGATGACTCAGCACTCACCCTCTAATTAACTCAGCCAGTCTTAGTGCCCCAATTCAGACGAGATCAGATCAACATTTACTGCAAATATCCAAGGAGGTTTTCTGACACAAAGGCATTTGGAGAAAAATTGAATGCTTGTGATTATACAGTTCTAGATTATGTGTGTAGGTGTGTGTATACACATACACACATCTTGATTGAAATATGACACTGATAACCTACAAGTTTTAATTAACTTATTTATTTTAGATCCCCCCCTTTTGATCTTATAGAAAGAGGAAGTGAGAGGGAGAGAGAGATAGAAACATCGATGAGAGAGAACATCAATATGAGAGGGGAATGAAGATCAGCTGCCTCCTACACACCCCTGACTGAGGATCAAGCCTGCAATCCTGGCATGTGCCCTGATAGGAAATTCAACCAGCTACCTTCTGGTGCATGGGATGAGGCTCAAGCAACTGAGCCACACTGCTGGGTCTTACCAGCCACACCTGCTGGGTCTTATTTTTTGTTTGTTTGTTTGTTTGTTTTTGTTAATCCTCACCTAAGGATATATTTCCATTATTATCATTTTTTTTCTAGATAGAATGGAAGGGAGGAAAACAGAGAGGGAGAGAGAAAGAAACATCAATGTGAGAAAGACACCTCAATTGGTTGCCTCCTGCACAAGCTCCGGGTCTTGGATCAAATCTGCAACCCAGGTACATGCCCTTGACTGGGAATTAAAGCTGCGATCCTTCAGTCCATGGGCCAATGCTCTTACTGATGAGCCAAATCAGCCAGGGCACCAGCAACATCTTTATATTCTCCCTGTCTTTACGTCCACACATAACTCTCTGGTCAGTGTTCTAATCACTTCAGTTCTACCTCTGTTTACTTTCATTTGATCTGCGCTTACCAACTTAACAACTTTAATCTTATTCAAAATTATTGGCTTTGTTAAATAGCTTTAACACTTACAATATCAGTACTGATCTATAACCACTCTTTGTTGGGTCAGAGAAGGTTTTTGGAAGAAATCATAGATCAGCAGAATCTAAAAGGTTAATAAGAGCTAGGGTCTGGACAGGTACTGAATCATGTGGGGAGCTGGGGGGATGGAGCCTATACTGAGGGAGACAGGGTTCCCATGAAGAGAAAAGGATATATTTGAATACCCAAAGGCACATGATATTGAAGTCCAGGAATGGGAACTATGAATACTGGGGAGAATCAGGGTCAGATAAGGTCCTGCTAAGGAGTCTGGCTTTTATTTTGCAGGTATTGGAAAGTGAAAATATATCTTCAGTGAGGTGATTTTGTGATTGGATGGGAAACCTTTGAAACAATCATTCTGGCAGCTTTCTCTGAGTACTTCAGTTCATATTTTTTATTCTTTCTGTTAAGTTCAGATCTGCTGAAAAATGAAGACTAGGTCTTACTCAATTCTGCATCCTACTGAGCACCAAAGTGTTAATAACAGACACACACCCATGTTAATTAATTACAGATTGTAACAGGTATTCTCTTCTAGCTATTTGTTCTGTTTTTGAAATCATCATTGAACTCAACAGTACAGATATTCCCTCTCCACCGAGACAGGCTACTAACTTGTAAAGAGACAACTGTCATGCCATGTTTTATGAAGTCGAAATATTTCGGAGAGCCTTCCTGTGTCGGAATCTGTTCTGGGAGCGGAGTCATGTGAGTGAGGGAGGGAAGGCCCCTCCTTTCCACACGGGTCACATGACGTCAAGCATGAAGCACTTGTGCCGAAGACATTGGCAGATTCTATCATTCCTTAGAAAAATAATTTAGCAGCTGTTCTCATACAAAATAGGGGCAGACTTTCTACATGGAAACTTGCCATTGTTGTTAGAACAGGGTACAGAAAAACCTTTCCCTGATACATGTGTTCTTCTGAAGGCCTGGGATGGCTTTTTTTCCAGGTTGAGCCCTTTCTTTAAATTAGTTTGTCACCAAATGTGCTAATTTTGATATAGTTTAAAATAACAGGATGGGTCTTGAAAAGTAAAGCTGTGATTTGCTCCCATAATTAAATTTGTGACATCTGTCTCTTCTGCAAGTGTTGTGTTAACCTAAAACCCAAATGGAAAGTGAGAAATAAAGAAACTTCTGTTCTGAGCTAAGGTTCTTAAAAGCGTCAATTAATAATTCATTTATTATATCAGAGTAAAGCTTGTTCCAGTTCATCATTAATGCATCACTGTATTTTGTGTTGATATGGAAAAGCTGTCTCCAGCAATTATAAATTGCCACAGTCCCATTTCAGTTACAGGGTGAGGCCCCCTGGGGCCGAAGTGCCTATCATAACATATATTTAGCTTTGCCATCATTGGGAAACTTTTATTAAACAGTTAATTCTGTATGACAATACACAAGAAAAACACGTAAAGCTGATGTCTGTGATCTCAAGTGCTGTACCCTAAGATAGTCTCTGGGATTTGCTGCTGCTCAGTAAACCTTCCTGAGGACAGGACAGGTACGCACTGGAACTTCCATGGAAACACAGAGCTGCGTTGAGTTGCCCTCAACCCACAGGAGGGAAATGAAAAGTGTTTAGCATGCAGCAGAACATGTGAGCACCGTGAGCTCCCTGCCTGCCTAGCCTTGCTGGTCCGGGTGCTGGTGCTCCGCCCTGGGAGCAGGGGGGGGGGGGGGGGCCTGGGGGAGCTGCCCCTCCATCCGCGGTGGCACCTGCCACACCACAGGCCTTTCATAGGCCCCTCCTCCTCTCAGCTGTGGTTTTTCCATTGGGAAGCAGTGATTCCAAGGAAAAGTCAGTCACATGAACACTGGGTTCACTTCTGTTAACCCACTAAGTGAGGCCGAGCACAGCGAGGGGCTTCCCACTATTCGGGACCACTGGTGCTATTGCGCTAAGCCCACAACACTCAAGCCCAGACTGGCTCCTGAAAGGGAGCCGACCTCAGCGGGACTTCCCCACTCTGTGATATTTAACATGTTAGCTGTATCATTCTATGGCTTCCTGTTTTTGGGTTTTTCTTTGAAAACAAGTGTAAGGTTAAAGCGTGATGAAATCCAATCATTTAAGAGGAGAAGCTTAAGATGTTTGTGTTCCTGGTGTACGTAACTGAGAAGAGGTCTAAGTAGAGACGGGTTGTCGCCGTGTTGGAAAGAGCAGGAGAGCATAGAACGGAGGCATCCAGTGTGTGTCCAACGGGAAGCCCTTGGCTTGTTGGGCGGCACACGGGACGAGTGTGGGAGAGCAGAAGGATGCCCCACTGAAGGTTCGTCAGAGGCCAGGGAGGGATACGTGCATGAGTTTTATCATTGAGGAAAAGAGTGTAGTAGAATTTACCAAGAGGAGAAGAAAGAGGAGTCAGGATAACAGGAGAAAAGCAGCATCTGGAGAGGTCTGAGGAGAAGGGAGAGAGTATGGGACACAGAAGCATGTGTGAGCTGACGGTGAGATTGTTCTCCACTGTGCTGGGGAATTAAAATCAATGAGACAGAAAAGTGTACAGAAAAGAGTTCAGGTTAAAGAAGAAGAAAGCAGTGCTGATGTTGGCTCTTTGACTCTCCAGTGCTGAGTGAAGGTTGTTAAACTCATTCCTAAGAGAGGACAATACCTTCGCTAGTAAAAACGTCAGGGGAAGATGGGCAAAAAGGTTTGTACTGTCTGAGTGATTTAAGACGGCTTGCAAAGCTGGCCCGTGCAGAGTTATGGAAGAGTTTTGGATTTATGGGCATGAGGAGAATTGTTAAAGTGAATATTGATGAGCAAGCTGTTAGTGTTAGTGAGTGAATGAAGTGAACTGAGGCACAGTAGTGTTTTTCAGGAATGAGTATTTCCTGGAGGAAGTATTTGAGCACTGTTTGCCCGTTCCTGGTGTTGCCTAGGAACCAAACAGGAAAAATTATTCTTTATCCCAGAATTATTTAGCACAGGGATGGGAAAGTGTCTTTGTTCCAATTCTCATTGAACTTTGAATGGGTTTTAGTCAGATGTTAGGACTACACAGAGTTAAATAAAAATTCCTGGACACAGACAACGGTGGAATTACCAGAGGAAAGGGCGGGGGGCAGGTAGGAGAGGGCAAAGGGGGGACATGGTGACAGGAGACTTGACTTGAGGTGATGAACACACAGTGCAGTTTACAGATAGTGTGTTACAGAATTATACTCATGAAACCTATATAATTTTATTAACCAATGTTGCCTCAGTCAATTCAATAAAACTTTTTTAAAAAGAAAATTTCCTGAACTTCCGTATGGTAAAGGAACACTGAGCTTGAGGACTCAAGAACGCACATTCTCCTTTGCTGATTTAATCTCTAGTCCCCTTCTGATATTTCGGGGAGCTGGCCAGTGCTTCTCTTACCCTCTAAGAATGCAAAAGTGGCTTTTACTGTGTTGGCAGTGGAAGCAGCTTCACTCCTAGTCAAGATTCACTCTGCCTTTCCTATGTTGAGAAGAGCCCGAGGAAGCAACCACCATGGCTACTGGCTCATCCATACGAGCCCCAAGGCTCCCTAAGGCCCCAGCCTTTACACATTTATCTCTTCCTGTTCTGTGTCAATATCAACAGTGGAGAATGCCCTGGAGCTGGGAGAGACACAAGATCCAAATGAATCAATGTCTTATAAGCCATGTGCTATGCCTTCAAGCAAGGCAGAGCAATTATTACCCAACACGGTGCCCCTGCTGGTTCTCAAGGACAAACAGGAGAAGCAAATCCATCACGGCCTTGCCATTTAAGGTTCACTTTGGACTGCAGAGGCTCTTCTGCAAGGCACCATTCATTTGTGCTCAGCATCATTCTTCAGCATTCACTCAAGACTGACAGTTTTCACAAAAGGAATGGAGAAGAAAAGAAGTGGGGCTGGTGGGTTTAAAATGACAACGAAGATAGAAACAAAACTGCTCTTTGCGGGGAAAGAAAACCTCTGTTGCGAGAGCATCACACAGGCAATTTTTAGTTAACTGTAA